CTGCGGGGCCTCCTCGCGTACCTCCGGACGACTCGTTTGGCGACCATGTCGCCTGGTAGGGGGAGTCGGTTCCCCCTTCCCATTAACGATGGCTACCGAGCCACCGTGACGAAGTTCGAGCTTCTGTCCGTCGATGTCGATGCTGCGTACGTGGGCATCGATGAACGCGGTCCCAAGTAGAACGGGAACAGCGAGTTGTTCGGCCACTACGAAAGGTATGCGGAACGTCGTGTTCCGCAGCCGGACCGCGAGGCGAACGACCGCCGTAAGTCGAAGCGGGTTACTGTTCGCGCCAGCCAGGCGTGGTAATGGCGCGCCCCGTATTACGTAGCGGGCCCAGTCGGGAGGGAGGTCGGCCTTCCTCACCAAGTTGTAGCCCGAGCACGTGTCGACGGCGATCGTGTGGGGCTTAAACGCGTTGCCTTCGGTGGCCACGGAGCCCAAGACGTTATATATTTTCGACGTCATGAGGCATACGAGGCCATCGACCACCTTGGGCGCGACCTTATCGGTGAGGTCGTTCCGCCGGGGCCTTCGACTTCGGCATTGGCCCCTCTTGCGTTTCCTTCGGCTCGAGCCGGGGGACGTTCGCCTCTCACTGACGCCCGTCCAGGTGCTGGCGTCCGTACGAGGCGGACATTTTGTCGGCGACCTTGGGCTCACCGGGGTCAGGAGGTCGACCGACTCGTGTCGGTCGGCGTTAACCGCGTCTCGCTCGTTGCGCTTCACTGGGACGACGGATGTCCCTGTGGTGCCTTCTTCCAACATCGGGTCTACGTGGGTCTCGGTGTTGGGTTTCTCCTGCAATGTCGACATTGCTGGAGTCCCCGTGCTCGACTCCGATAGCGGGGGATGTATTATCGGACAATACCCCCGGTGTCCTTGGCCAGCACGCGGGGACCGGTCTAGTTCATAGGGAAAAGACGGCTCACGCGACCGCGTGTACGTAACCGTCTTTACCCTTTTTTCGAACTACCGGTGCTATCGGAGCTACCCCCCTGGCTATCGTCGGTCAGGTCTTCTCCGGGTGGCCGACCACGTGGGTCGGGACTATTCCTCCCGGGCGGCTCGGCAGCCTTGGCGAAGTACTCGGGTACTTCCGGGCCTTGACCTGCGGCGTCCGGCCGTCGCAGGATATGGAGGACGAAGCGAGTCGGCTCTCCTTCGTGACCCTCCGCGGGTAGGGGGTACGGATCCTCTACCCAGTCTTGCAGGTACATTATCGCATTCTGTACCTGTTGGGGTAACCGAGAACGGTCTCGGTCCCCTCTCCCTCCTTGGCGGGGGTACCTTGTGTCGGCCTGGCGGTAGTCGGGCCGATCGCGACGATCGAGTTCGGTACGACGATACCCGCCTCCACAGGGGGCGAATCGAGCGCCCCCACCCGACCGATTCGGGAAGCCTTGACGCGGGGGACGACCCTCGCCGACCGCTTGCCGGAGTAGATTGCGTGCCCCGGGGCGCGTCTCCATCTGGTACCGGTAGTTCCTGTACGCCGTGAACATTCGTTGTTCCGGCGACAGGAACGGGCAGGCGTACATGGCGTGTCCGTACGTACGACATAGCCAGCACACGTACGCGCTGCCGTCCGTTGAGGCGAAGGTCGCCGCGTGACGAGCCTCCTCGTCGGTGAGGAGGGGCACGCGAGGGGCTTCACCTCCGGTATCTCGGTTTGAGATGTCGAGCTCAGCGACCCGGGGGTCCGTACCCCTGGGTGCTCTTGGAGTGGCCGCGAACGCGGTCGCGTAGCTCGACGTCGTTCCGGTCGACATCGGTGGAGGGGATCGACCCCCTACTGGCCCTGCTCCCTGCGTAATGAGGACAGGGTCGGCCTGCCACTCATCCTCCCCGACATGGAGGGTAGAGGCGGGCGAACTTGTTGCGGCGGACTTCGTAGTCCTGCCAGCCCTCCCTGCCGGTTTCGAATCCGGCAGAGGTAAACCACGTCGAGCGCGGTAAGTGGTTCCTTCCGCCGTTGCGATACGGCGGATGGTCGGAAGATCGGTCTTCTGGCGGCTCGGCAGCCGCTGCACTGTCTCGGAAACTGCGGCACGGGTCGCCGGAGCGAGTCCCCGCACGAAGTAATGCGCGAGGGACTGTTCGGAGAACACTTCCGTGCACCGGAACGCGGCCGTTTCGAGCCGGTCCGCGAACGTGCTCTCCGTTTCATGAGATTGTTGTCGCGCCGTCGCGACAGCGTCGTACGCTTCACCTAACACGTCGTCGGTTAGGTAGCGTTTCAGGAACTGGTTCACGAGTCCCGGCCAACTCACGTCGTCGTGTAGTTGGCCGGCGCGGAGGCCACGCATCGTATTACTCGTATACAGGCGCTCCGCGTCGCGCTCTAAGAAGTGCGCGAGGACTCTCACGGCAACACCTTCGGTCAGGTGTTGCGAGTTGAAGGTTATCCGAATATCCTTCAAGAACGGTAGGAGCTGGATCGGGTCCGTACCGTCAAAGCTCTTCATCGTGGGACGGATCCCACGGCAGCGTTGGACGTACTTCGCAATCCGTCCCGCGTCACCCGAGGTGACGAGCCTCGAGGTGTTATCCAAGCGGTACATACGATAGTCAGCGACGGCGCTGAACTCTTGGATCATCGTATGCACCGGCTCGAGCCCGGGCTCGGTGGGACCTAGCGTGCCGAAGGAGGTAACCGGTAGCGTACGGACGTCCACCGGACCTGGATGCTCGGCATAACTCGCCGGCGGGTAGCCGCCCCAGCGGGGATCGACGGAGAACATCGGTTCTCCGGATCCGCGGGCGGCTCCTCCACGGTCCTGTTCGTCCGCGTACGATACGCGGTCCATCTGCCGCCTACTTACGGGGATAGGCGGCAATGCTTGGGTCTCGGACGCGAGATTCGCGCCCATCGGAGGACGGTTTCCTTCCGCAGTCCGACTGGCGTCGGCGCCAGTCGGACGCCAACCTTCCGGAGCGACGGCGCTCGGAGGTACGGCACCACCGGGCCCTCTCGTGGGGGCACCGGGCAGCCTTGCGGCCATGGTCCGTTCCATGTCACGAGCACGCTGTCGCGTAGCGTTGAGCTCGGCGGAGAGGTGCGCGAACGCACCCAACTGCTCTGCTGACGGGGACGGTCGATCGTCGGGACGTCTCGTCGAGGTCGGCCTCGTGGGGCGACCTTGCCCGTGCAGTACGGGCTGTGCGAGGCGTGAGTCTTCGACGAGCACCAGTCGCGAGTGTAACTCGTCGACTAGTGCTCGGAGATTCTCCAAGGACTGGCTGGCTCGATCGAACCTCCCTTCACGTAGGGAGCGAAGCTCGTCCATACATCGCGAGTAGACGGCGTCCGTCACGTCTATACGGAGTGAAGTACGGACTTCCTCGATGTAGTCAGCTATGCGATCGAACATCGCAGCCGCTTGTCCTTCGGGGGACTCGGGCGACGGTTCGCGGTCTCGGAGACCAGCGTCGCCGTCGCCGAACGGCGGGGATGGTGCGTGCAAAGCGGCCGCCCTCGGATCCGCCGGTTCGGACCGGATCGAGGTGGCGTATTCTTGACTCATCTCAACGCGTACGGACGCGGAAGAAAAAGAAAGTCTTCTCGGAAAGATCTCGGGGTCTTCTAGGTCGGGAGACCACTGTAGCATAAACATCCCCAGACGACTGGAGGTGTATGCGCAGTTCGACCTGTAGACCCCGGTTCGGAGAAGGGGTGAAGCGGGCCAACCAGCTACGGAACCGGGCTCGGGCCCTGGTAGCGGTGGTAGAGCGGGAGCGAGCAGGGACGCGCGCACGCACGAGCGGATCGACGCCTCGACGCCCCGGAGCAGCACTGGGTGACGTACCAGTGCTGACGGGCGGAGGCGGTTCCGTGCTCGCTCGCGTGCTGCGCGTCCACTCCGGCTCGGCTCCGACTAAACGCGCGCGAAGAGCGAAGGCGACGTTTAGAATAAGCTGGGTGCACTGACCTTGGCGGTCGGTTGAGGACAAGCCCGTGCTTGTCCCCTTCCGCCGCCGTCGGTCCGCTCCATATTTAATATACAAAACACTCTATCATAACACTACAGTACCGTGGTACTGTAGTGGGCTACTGTAGTGCAGGTCGGCCTGCACTGTAATACTGTCAGCTATGTCGAGGCTGACAGTACAGGTATCACCCGTGGTGCGTGCGCGCTTCGTTCGCGCGCTGTACCCGTGTGCACGTGTATGCGCATGTCCCTGGTCCCCGTGGTGTACACGTGGACACGCGCGGTGGTACTGTAGAGCTCGACGCTCTACAGTAGCTGATGTAGTTCTTGATCTAATCTAATTTAAACTCCCAGGGGGGGGGTTATGCTACATGCACCAGTAGCTGCAACGGTGACGCCTCGCGTGATGCTTTGTGTCACTTTAAGGCTGTTAGCAGGGGCTAGCTATTTGGATGTGGGATGGCCTTACGGCATATCAAGTGCCACTACGTACCCCATTTTTGACCAGACTTTGACCGCTTTGGATAAATCGTTACCGCGCATGAGGTTCCCTACAACTGAGGTTGAGTGTAATGAAAGTGCTTCATTGTTTCAATCGCTCAGACGAAGCCCGCTGCATGGAACTGTTGCCGCGCTTGATGGAATCGCTATAGCGATTAAACAACCCAGCCTTTCCGATACTCCTGACCCCCGTAAGTACTACAATCGTAAGCGCTTTTATGCACTTTGCATCCAGGCCGCAGTTACTGCTGACTACAAATTTGTGTTTGTTTCTGCAAGGCACGCTGGGAGCACGCATGATTCCACAGCATTCCAAGCTACACTACTTTACGACATTTTACAAAGCGAAACCCTTCCGCCGTGGGCATGCATTGCAGCGGACGATGCCTATGGAAATGGAGGTCATATCCTAACGCCATACAGTAGTAAAAATATACCTCAGTGGAAGAGTGGTTTTAATTACTACCTTTCGTCATGTAGGGTAACAGTGGAACAAGCCTTCGGAATACTCGTCATGCGCTTTGGAATTTTGTGGTCACCGCTCAGGTATCGACTATCCAAATGTACTCTCATCATAATGGTGTGCTGCGAACTACACAACTTTATTACAGATCGGAAGGCCGACGAATGCTTTGAGGAGATACCAACACACGAGGATAACAGTACAAGTGGTTCCCCTGTAGTTTGGACGCAGAATTTACTACACAATGAACAATACGTAACTCGTAATAGGCGAAAGGATAGGGAGGAAACTGACCTGCGCCAACGCGTTGCACAAAGGTTGTTTGACTGTGGGTACATACGGCCTAGACCTCGCGATCGCTAAGAAATCTCATCACACTTGTGAAGTAAGATTCTGCATCAGACCCTGCACAACTCTTTCGTAAACCTCCCGCTCCTCCGTTGTCTCAGACTTTTCCATCATATCTTTCGCCTCATTGATGGCAGACAGTAGCTGCTTTGTCGACCTGCCTTTCGCCTCGAAAGCCTCGTACTGCGCTTTATCCCTTTCGGTCTCTTCTGTCGCGCGCGCAACCACCTGCGACATCGGCTGTAAAGGCGACGACAATGACTCCATTCCCCTAATACTGATCTCGTGCGCTTTTTTCTGTGCCCGGGCGACACCCCTCTGCTTCCCATAGGTGCAGAAAAGTCTGCAGGACCGACCCCCTCTCCAACCCCCTCCTCCCTCTGTGCATCACTCTGTAGAACCCTCGTGGCTAGAGGTTGTAGAAACGGATGACGCTCGAGAAAGCAAAAAGCGTACATCAGATGCACTTTGCCATATGCGTAGAGCGCGAATCCATCTGGGTCTCCCTGTCCCGATGCTTCAAACCGGGTCACCGCAGTTCCATAAAGAGACTTGAATTCTCCAAATTTCCGCTTCAATGTCCCCGCCAGTCGCTCGTACTTCCGTTGTCCTGGATCGATCGATATTATGTCGTCCCGTGTAACCCCACCACACACTGATGAACAGGGTTCCGGTTTAAAATTTACGTCATTGTACATCGGTGGTATGTAGTCTGACCAAGGATCAATGAACTCTCCATCGAGCTCGTCACGGGATCGGGGCTCCATCATTTGAGCTCTAGCGACCAGCATACGACTGTCTGCCAACACATGCAACAACCTGCAGTACTCGTTTGCCTCGAAATTTGGTTGCCTCTGTGTTTCGTCGAAGCTTTCCTGCGTTATCTCGAGATTTGGTTCCCCGACAATGACCTCAGATCCCTCAAAACGAGGCTTATCTCCTCTCACCCACTGCAGTTCGTCTTCCCCCGCGCGATTGCGGATGATTTTGACCGCCGTAGATGGCAGTGCTCGTAGTCGGCAGTAGGTACTATCGGCGTCGGATTGGGTTTGGCCGTTATCGACGCATGGAAGAATTTCGGATATTGATATCTTCCTTTGAACCATCTTAGCTGCCAACACCTTTCCCTTAATCGACACTTTGGTGTTTTGTGCTCCGGTGACGTTGATAATTTTTAGACAGGCTTTGAGGACATTATTGTCCAGACAAGCAATCCTAATCGAGTCATGGGCTTGTTGTAGATCGGATGGAACGCGATCTATTCCCAGCTGATACACTCTGTCCCTTTCTGCCTGTGATGTCTCGTTTCCATCTGCACCTTGCAGCAGGAAATGTCGCACAGGGTCGATTGTTGCGAAGGGTGGATCGATTGGGGGAATGACTGTCGCCATGGTTTCGAGGAAAGCTGGTGTTTCCGTGCTTTCAAATTTCACGGCGGAGTCTCAGTTTTGGGGCTAGTGCGTTTGTTGCAGTGTTAGGGAGTGGATGCCGGCTCCGAGAAGCCAGCAGAGGACAAAGGAGATGGCACGTCGGCAGCCAGGGAGGACACAGGAGACGGCACGTTGGCGGTTGGTGGGTGGGTTTGCGTGTCGGGAAGTGGATGCCAGCTTCCAGAGAGGACACACGAGGTGGAACTTTGGGGGTTTGGGCGTGTCAGGGGTGATAGTTGCGGGCTCCTAGCAGGCAGACAGGACACAGGAGACGGCACTTTAGCGGTTGGTGGGTCAGTGTGCGTTTCAGGGGAGTGAACGCAAGCTGACAGGGAGGCCACGCGAGATGGCACTTTCGAGATTTGGGGGGTGTGGCGTGTCAGGGGTGATAGATGCGGGCTTCCGGCAGCCAGGGAAGACACAGGAGACGGCACGTTGGCGGTTGGTGGGTCGGTGTGTGTATCGATGGAGTCAACGCAAGCTGCCAGGGAGGACACACGAGATGGCACGTTGGCGGTTTGGGGAGTGTGGGCGTGTCAGGGGTGAGAGATGCGGGATTCCGGCAGCCAGGGAGGACACAGGAGACGGCACGTTGGCCGTTGGCAGGTCGGTGTGCGTGTCGGTGGAGTCAACGCATGCTGCCAGGGAAAACACACGATATGGCACGTTGGCGGTTTGGGGGGTGTGGGCGTGTCGGGGGACTGGATGCGAGCTCTAGGAAGGAAGGAAAGAAAAGGAAGAGGGCACGTTGGCGGTTGGTTGATGTGTGGGCGTGTCGGGAATGATGGCACGTTAGCTGTTGGTGAGTTTCTTGACATGTCGGGGAAAGTATACACGCTCCAGGCAGAAAGGGAAACTGGAAAATACATTACAACAAGTGCTAATCCCTCATTGGGTACCTCGAATTTCCAAATCACTAATTTCCGGATATGTGTGTCCGTAGAACGGCCCTCAATAAGCAGGGGTTGATCCCGTAACTGGGTCGGTTTTGTAACTTTTGCCTACATCGTAACTGGGTCGGTTTTGTAACTTTTGTCTACATCGTATGCAGCACTTATTCATACTTTGCCCAATTTTCGTGGCTCTCAGATGATAAAGTGCCGCTTTCCTCCTAAATTTTAACTCAAGGTCTCCTTGGCCTCTGCGTTTCTTCTTGCGCAAAAGTCACTAATTCATTTCTTCTTGCGTAAAGTCACCATTGTTCACCTATTTCGTGCACGACTGCAAGTGCCGTACAGTGACTTGAGATGCCCAACCGCACCATGAGAGACAGTCTCGTTCTGTCTCAAATGTGTCCGCTCCCGCTCCCGCTCCCGCTCCCGCCAACCCAATGGTTTAACAGACCCCTCACACCCGCGCCCCGCAGCTCCCTCCGAACCTCTCCCCTCCCCTCTACCGGCCCCGCATCCATCCGCATGATTCTATCCACCCGCTTCATCCTCAGGAAACAAGCCGGCCATTGCTCCGACATGGACGCTTCGAAAACATGATCCCACCGCATCCCAACCTGGCGCTTGTACTCGCCATCTTGGCAACTATCGTGCTCACCTCTACCGCCCAACGCCCCCGCCCGGCACTGACAAAGCAAGCCTTTCGCCAGCTCCTCAAACTACGCCTCCTTCCAACCAAGTCCGATGGCGACTAGGACGGTGTTTGGACGGCGGGTGACCACGCGCGTGGGAGGGATAGTAGCCGGGTGGTGGCCGGTAGGGGATGGGGCGGCGGTGAGGTTGCGGGGGCGGGGGGATGTTGTATGATGCGCGCGAGGGAAAACGACGCTGGAGTAGAGTACGCCGCAGACGACGAGGATGGAGAGCGTGCGGCGCGCGATGGCGCGTCGCGGCTTAGTGAAACATGGAGGTTGAGGCCGAACGCGTGTCTCACGGCGACGCACGCGGGAGCCAAGCCTGCGTACAGCGTGGTAGCGTTGTGCAGAAACCGGCGCGCGACCTCGGTCTTGCCGCACGCAAAGTAGTATTAACTGACGGCCATCCAGCTGACGGCGCTCTTCGGATCGCGGTCCACCAGCGAGTGGGCTTCTTGCAGACGATGAATAACAGCACCCGATTTGCGGAATTCGACGAGCTATGACGAGATGAGGGAGTGCTACTCCGGTGGCACTCCGCACGAACTACGGCAGGGGGATGCTACTGTACTGCGGTGGCAACTCGCATGTGATACTGTACGACAGCACTGCACGGCTGACCCAGAGTTTCGCTTGCTGCGGACGTGTCGTCGGCTCTTCCCTCATGCTGGAGCGCGATGGAGCGCGAGGAGGGGAGAGCCGTTGGGAGGATAGGCGGAAATAGAGAAGAAGAGTTAAAGGGGGTTGAATGGGTTCCCCATGTACAAGGTACATGCGGTGTGGAGGAGCCAGGAAGACATGTCGATGGCGGAGATAGGGAGCGTGGCATTCCAACGCTGGGGCGTGGTTTGTGGGCGAACGATGGTGATGTCGGCTTAGTGCCGTTGTGATGAACGGGCACAGGGGTACGACAAGGGTATATGCCATGGAGCTGCGCCACTTGAAGTGTTTGGGGAAGCGCTCTTGACTCAAGAGCCTTGAGGTTGTACAGCCCGTAAAAGGTCTTTTATGTTTTATTGTTTTGTTGTTTTTTCGTTTTTTCATGTTTTTGTTATTATAGGTACTGTAAGTACTTGAGTGTGGCTTTCAGAGGAGATTTACCCTTGGGTACTCCCCAAAAAGTTTCCAGTGATTTTGTTGGTTGTTTACGTGTTTCGGGTGTTCCCTGTCATTACGCGTACGTGTACATGTGTATACGTGTACACCTGCACCCGTAGGGACGACGGAGGGCAGAAGGGGGATAGAAAGATAAAGGGAGGGAGGGGGCAAGGGAAAACTTGACTACTTCACATTCCCCCCCCCCCCCCCCCTCCCTTCGGGGACCGACCTCTGGCTGCTTTCACCCTTCGCCTCTTTGTATTGCCGCCTTCTGCTTGGAAACGTGCTTGGAACAATCTAAAAAACCTTGAAATTACAACTGAAATATGCCCTGCGAGAGGTAGTCTTGCGGGGGAGTGTCGATCCGGGCAATGCCCTCGCTGTGAAGGTGGTACCCTTCGTAACCGATTGCAGGCAAGATACAGTATGCAGCCATATTCCTTCTCCTCGACGGATGTATTTACAGTATTCCAGTTTCGCGGCCACGTGTGTGTACAGTATTGGAGCAGCAGTGAGTCTTCCTGTTTCATGATGCAAGACTACAGCAAAGAACGAAAATCAATGCTTGTAACAAGAGGGGCAGCAATGTCGCAACTTTGGTGAGTACTGTATGGCACAGCCGCTAGTCGAAAGTTCAGAGCAACGGGACACCATGCTTGTTGTGTGTCCCCCGCCATGGGCCACTGTAAAAGCGACCGCTTGTGGTCTCGTGAAATCATGGTAATATGAACACAACCGGCACATGCCGCACGTGATCGTGGCAATGACGACACTGCCATAGACGTCCGCTTCGTGAAATTGTTCATCTTCAACATGCGTCCATCTACATGATCCACCACGAAAGAGCATCTCCACCACGCGCTCCTAATCCCATACTGATTCCCACAACTGATTTGCCAGCAGCGTAGAAAAACTATTACAGCGACTCTTGTGGAGGTAGTTCTGTGTGTCTGACAGCAATCCAACCCGAGCAAAGTTATGCTTTCCAATGCACTGGGTGCAGTGGTCAAGTCCGTCCAGCCGCAGCCATTTCTGGTCGATTCCTCTCGCACACATCCTCTCGCAACACATCCTCTCGCACACATTTGCATTGCTGTCGTACATTGTCACGGGAACCACAGCAAAACCCCATCCGGGACGCCTCATTGGACGAGCACATCGAAGGCGGATTCACCAGCCAGTCTCGCACGAGACCTCTGCTCGTGACTCACGAGTCGTGAGCACGCAACCCCAGAGCTGGCCACCGTCGTCCCCTCCAGGCACAACGGCACTAAATGGCGATCTTCACAACCGCACTCCATAGCCCCTGGTCCGAGGACAGCCTCCGTGAGGCTGTGTAGCGCTTGTTGCACAGGCCAGCTTGGAGCATCTCTTGCTCCACTGCCGCTTCCCGCCTCTCTCGCGTTGCCGGGCACTGCTCCCCGCTTTATTTCGTTGCAGTACCGCGGGTTTGTGTCCTGGGCCGAAGACCTCCTTCCAGTCATTTAACATGATCGTACGGGAACGCTAGAGCCGCATCCATCTTAACAAATTTCTTTTTTTACCGTCAACTACGCTTTTGGTAATGCGCGTTCACCTGGCGCCGTCGGGCTCTGCCCTTCCCGCCTACGTTACTACCTACTTGCGGTCTTCCATACTGCACCCCAACTTCATATGCTATACCGGCGAACAAGGCCCCTACGTTGCATTCATGGAAACGAACGTTTTACCCCCTCCTCACGGATTAACAATGATACTATCGACAAGTGGCAAAGCTTGATTGAATTCCGCTGGTTTTCTAGAGATGGGCTTTGGAACAAGGCCAATGTCTGTCGATGAAACGATGCCTCGCTTTACTCTCAGGAACTCCTGCCCTACACGCTTCTGTAAGTCCAGTGGCCCCACGCCGTCGCCCATGAGCCACTGTCTGCATGTTTGACCACGTATGTACGTGCATCAGTGGCCTTTATCACAATGCACAAACGTCGAGAAATGATTTCCGAACGTATGCCTCCTACCTTTCGAAAAATGATAGTGTATTCCCGGTTACTTTGTCTACAGGAGTTGCCCCTGCAAACGCAGTTTTGTTCCTTCCGGCAACGCCTTAATATTGTTTTGGTGCCACGTGGGTCAAGTTTGTTTGACAGAAGGAGACAGGCAGCAATCTCTATTACAGTAAAACATCTCGTCGTACTTGCAAGCCGTTTTGGAGAGCAATGGGAATCACCCATACTAAAAATAATATCCATGGTCTTCCAAGAGAGACGAGGAGGACATCATTGGTGAGATGCATGACTCTTTTTCGGCCACGATTTCCACTGATACGGGAGAAGTAGAATATAAAGCCGGTTCATCTCTGCTAAGACACCGCCCTGTCTTCAAAAAAGGTTCTCTATTTCGATACGGGAGAGCTCCTTTGCAAGCGCCCCGAACGCCACTTTCTGAGGCCGATCAGAGAACTCTGTCATGTTTTACTCTTTGTCAGTGACCACTTCAGTGTGGAATGCGATCAGATTTGTACTCACGGGCCTCCTTATTGATGTTATACTTATCCCATTGGTGAGGCTCAATATGGGAAAACTCAGAGGGCGATCAGTACGACGAGGGCACGCTGTTCCGCCCGCAGAGACTGAGTTTGGACGGCTGCTGAGACCGTCCTTGCATTCACAACCGGAATCTTACAGAACACGAATGCTGATCAATCTTTGTCTCACTCTTTTCATGTACTCCGCCACGCTGCTGCTTGAATATGGAAGCAAAGATGCAGTCACAAGCTCCAAACGAGACATAAATTCCTCTTTAATGTCACATGAGGACTTTCGAGGTGGAATGATGTACTTTATGGTCCCAGAAACTGTATCTAGTGATACACTTGAAGACGTAAGACTCGCCAGTACTTGGATATCTCAGCCCTGTTCAGACGTCGAAGGCGTGCCAGAGCGTGCTTTACAAATTCCAAGTAATCTTTCGCAAGGTGGTTCGAAACCAAATCCCTGGCCCATTGACAGCACAGTGCTAGGAATAATGCATGACAGGAAGGATGGAATGGCAGTATTTACAAAGACCGAGGTTGGACTGAAATTCGCCAGACTCAGCACTAGGGGAAGGACTGTTGCACATGAC